CCTGTTTCACTGGGGGGGGGGGTTGGGTGGAAGATCAGTTAGGACATCTTTGCTTTGCATCTGGAGGCAAGCCCTACTCTAAAACTTGTGCCAGACTGCCTCTGCTTGACAACTGTACAGGCATTTGGGCTGGAAGTCTAGGGCAGCTGGATGTGACGCTGACCCATCAATCCCTCATATGTTGTTGACTTCAGAAATTGATGCATCAGGCCAGCAGGCTGAAGGCACACACCGAAGCCTCGACACAGACTGTGGCACACTGCAGCACTCTCACAATTCTCCTATTGCAAGTGAGAGAGAGGAGGGAGGAGGGTGATCAGACAGCAGTTAAAAGGACACCTCAGCTATAGCTTTCACTTCTACAAGTGCCACACAAGTCCCTTCAAAATAGAAGAGTTTTCACATTGGGAAGTGTGGATGTTTCTGTTGAACAGACAGCAGATGAAGAGAAGATGACTGTCTTAAGGAAAAAATAGCATTCCAGAGCTACTGTTTTAAGTTGCTGGCTGGTAGTGTCCTGTCCTTTGCTGCTGGCTTGACTTGAGTAATATTGGCAGACACAGGCCAGCTACTAAATGGCTGAAAGAGGTTGAAAGTGGAATCACCAGTCACTAATGGGGTATCACAATCGGCTGAAAAAAGAAAAGTCTACATCTGAAAACAACGCATTCAGAGCAAGCTACCCCACTCACCTCTTCCACATACTGGTATATTATAGCTTTGACGGCCTGCACATTCGTGGCATCCATCATCACGGTAACAGCTTGTCCCTTTCGAATCTTCACGACACCCCTAAACACTTGTTTGTTGTTGTAACAAGCAGCCAGCGTGGCAATGGCCATCGCCTGTCGAGAAATAATGAACAGTCACATTTTGTAATAAAAAGGTATGCAGGGCAAAACCTTGGTCACATCAAAATCAATGGCAAAACTACAACTGGCTTCAAAGGGAACAGGTATTTGTATAGTGTACACATGCCTGCTTAAAGGAGGAATCAGGGAAATGATTTTTGAAGGATCTGTCTTCACAGCAGATGCATGAAGCAGGACAAGGATATTACAGAGAAGAGATTACAACAGTTATCCTTGTCCTTGAAGTATGCACAAAGTTCCTGGTTTGACAGCAAAAAAAGCCCTCGAGGAACAAGTGTCCCCACTTTAACCCATGAGCACAGCACAGCTCCTGCTGAAGTTGGTTGGAGCACCGTGCATACAGAAGAAGAGCCATTCATCAGAATACCTGGTTTATCAAGACAATAATTCAAATTCATCCACGATCACCACACCAAATCTCTCTTGGTTGGAAATGAAAGAAGGCATAGGGCACAGACCCCTACGTCTGTAAGCGAGGTTGTAGGAGAAGATGGGGAGAAACCATCTGGAAACATGAACCTACCTGTGGAATAGCACAGAAGTTGAAGACACTTTGGTTTTTAAGTCTGGACAAGTACTTGAGAACATCAGGGACATGGTGGAGAGCATTTGTAATCAGCTCGTTCAGACACTGGACAGCCACATCAGCATTCTCTGGTTTGGCAAAATCCGAGAGCTTCTTGGCATATCTGCTCCAAACCTGGGGATATCAATAACATACAGCAATGCCACCACTTACGTGCTTGCCATTGCACAGGTGTCCCTATGGGTTTTAGCAACGTGCTTTGCTGGACTGAGACTATAGCAGCCATCTCTCTATGGTATGAAAAAAGCTATCGGGAAGGAGATTCCCCCTTTGAACGATTCTCATTAGGTTACAGACACTTTAATAACCTGTGAAAAATCTTGGGGCACTGAACAGAGCAAGACAATCTCTGTGGAAAACAAAGAGGATGCTTGTCTGCACAAGATCCAGTGTCATAGTTTCATAGTTGGTCGGGTCGGAAGGAACCTGAGCAGATCAAGTCCGACCCCCTGCCATGGCAGGAAAGAGTACTGGGGTCAAACGACCCCAGCAAGGTGACTGTCTAGCCTTGTCTTAAAGACCCCCAGGGTAGGAGCCAGCACCCACTTCGCTTGGAAGTTGGTTCCAGATCCTAGCCGCCCTGACCGTGAAGTAGCATCTCCCGATGTCTAATCTGAATCTCCCCTCTGTGACCCTCTGTCCCCTCTGTGACCATTATTTCTAGTCACTCCTGGTCGTGCTCAGGGGAACAGGGACTTCCCCAGTGCCTGCTGGTCCCCTGACTAGTTTGTAACAGGCCACTAGATCCCCCCTCAGCCTTCTCTTCTGGAGGCTGAACAGGTTCAGGTCCCGTCGTCTCTCTTCGTAGGGCCTGCCCTGCTGCCCCTGATCATGCGAGTGGCCTCCTCTGGACCCTCTCCATGTTGTCCACATCCCTCCTGAAGTGCGGCGCCCAGAACTGGACGCAGTACTCCAGCTGCGGCCTGACCAGTGCCGCATAGAGGGGGAGGGGATCACCTCCTTGGACCTGCTCGAGATGCATGCGTGGATACATGACAAGGTGCAGTTGGCCTTCCTGACTGCATCCCCACACTGCCGGCCCATGTTCATCTTGGCATCAACGATGACTCCAAGATCCTTTTCTGCCTCTGCCCTGACGAGAAGGGAGTTCCCCAGCCTGTAGGTATGGTGTTGGTTCTTCCTCCCCAGGTGCAGCACCTTGCACTTGTCAGTGTTGAATCCCATCCTGTTCTCATCCGCCCACCCCTGTAACCTGTCTAGGTCCGACTGCAGCCTATTCCTCCCTTCTAGTGTGCCCACATCCTCCCACGTGCTAGCAAGTTTGAACAGGTGCTTTTTACCCCCTTGTCCAAGTCACTGATGAAGATGTTGAACAGTGCGGGACCAAGGACCGAGCCCTAGGGGACCTCTCTGCCCACATCCCTCCAGGTCGAACATGACCCGTCCACCACAACTCTCTGGGTGCGGCCCTCCAGCCAGTTGGCGACCTATTTGACTGTGTGGGTGTCGACACCACAGTCCCCCAGTTTATTAATGAGAACAGGGTGAGAGACAGTGTCGAAGGCCTTCCGAAAGTCCAGGAAGACGATGTCCGCTGCTACCCCTGCATCTAAGGATTTGGTGTCCTGGTCGTAGAAGGCCACCAGGTTGTCTGACAGGACCTGCCTCGAATGAACCCGTGTTGGTTGCCCCTAAGCATGATCTCCCCTGCTGGCCCCTTGGTGTCCTTGCAGATGTGTAACTCATGCACATACCCCTGGTGGGTGAGGGTACACCCGGTGTGTAAGAGCAAGGTTCTCATCAGCAGTGATCAATGGACCACCGCCCGTGTCCTCTGCACCTTTGTACATCCAGCCCAGAATAAAGGATGGAGCTTCCCCAACAACATCCCTGTTTCCTCCCTACGCCACCCACCACACAAAGACTTGAAAGCAAGGAGAACGGGAAACAAATCATGGGATATGCAAGGAGATGCTTTGTCTCAAAACAATAGCATTTAATCTCACTGTACATGCACAAGGGATCAGATTGCTTGCTATAATAATGGCTTGTGTACACTGCATTGTAGTGCTGTGTCCTCTCACAGTTCTAGATGAAGTACTTTATTGCCAGCCTTGGCCATTTTTAAAGGGGCCTGTGCCAAGCTGCAGAAGTCCCAAAGCCTGTTTCTGAGGAATCATAGAATGACCCTTTGCAGATGTGACATATTAGCTTAGTCTATGTAAAGGAAGCTATCAACATGTCTAACTAAATAAGACGAAATCAAAACAGAGCACAAAGCCTGAAGAGAGAGATAATTTCATAGATTTTCATAGACATTTGGGCTGGAAGGGACCCCGGATGATCATCGAGTCCAGCCCCCTGCCCCAGGGGCAGGAAGTCAGCAAGGATCATAGAATCCTAGTGAGATAAGCATCCAAATGTGTCTTGAAGGCATTCAAAGTGGGTGCTTGAACCACCTCTGGCGGCGGTCTGTTCCAGACCTTGGGGGCTCAGACAGTGATGAAGTTCTTTCTTATGTCCAGCCTGAATCGGTCACAGTGGGGTTTGTGTCCGTTCGATCTTATCATCCCTTGGGGCACTCTGGTGAACAGATGTTCCCCCAGATCCTGAGGAGCATCCCTGATAAACTTATAGGTGGCCACCAGATCATGCCTGAGCCTGCACTTTTCCATGTTGAATAGCCCCTTTGCTCTCAGCCTCTCAGCATAAGGTATTTTCCTGACCTCTGATCATGCGCGTGGCTCTCCTCTGCACACTCTCAAACGTCTCCATATCCCTTTTGAATTGTGGAGCCATAAACTGGACACAGTACTCCAGCTGCAACCTCACCAAGACCGAGTACAACGGGAGAATGACGTCCTGGGATCTGCTTGAGAAGCATCTATGGATGCAAGCCAGCTTTACTAGCTGCAGCATCACACTGAAGGCTCACATTCATCTTGTGATCAACCATGACCCCCAAGTCCCTTTTATATGTAGTGCTAGCCAGTGTAGCACTACCAAGCCTATAAGC